ATGCATACATACATACATATAGTGGGAAATTACCAATACGGAGTCAGGTAGAAATATAAGGATATTTAATAGGGAAAAGCCTTACTTACAGAGCAACCTAGCCAGCCAGCGTGGCAGCGGTCTGTACGCAAGCCCAAAAGTGAAACGAAAGAGAAAACGCAGTCACCCTACGTCCCCTGACCACGCCCTCGCAAGCGTGGTCAGGCACATCTGTAGCCAGACCCTAAGTAGGCGTGGCTACAGCTTTCCCTACACATACATACATACATACATACATACATACATACATACATACATACGGGCAATTAAATTTTGAGTGGACAGAGGACGTATCAGATATTAAACTAATAAGAATAGATACTACACTTGATCTTAGCCAAAAGGCTGTTGCTGCTATTAATGCATAACATATTGCCATTATTGCTCTCTCTCTATGCTTGCCAAAAAAAAAATAAGTGACACACTGGAAGACAAATGTCACACAATTTCAATTTTATGTGTAACCTAGAAATGATGAACTTATGGGAACAGAGAGCAGAATTGTGGCTATTAGGCTTCAATGTGGGACTTTTAACTTTTAACAATGGGGAAACGATTGGTTTAAGGATATAAAACTGCAGTTGGACAAGAGGCATGGACTCTCTGAAGTCTTGAGGTCTACTAAGAGCATGATAAATATGGTTGATAACAATATGCTATATTTTAAAAGTTGTGAGATAGTATACTTTAAGTGTTCTCAAAACAAAGATGATGAATATGTGTGATATAATATGTTAATTGGTTTAATTTAGCCATGCCATTGTGAACATACTGTATTCTGTATCATAATTGTGCATGACTTTATTTATGAGCTAAATAAATAAATGAAAAAAATTTGAGTGGAAAGTTCTCTGCCACATGGGACTCAATGAAGGTGGTGAGACCAAGTATGTGGAATTCATACTTGCACATTTGGTGATGATTAGCCCCAACTAATATACAGTTAAAAAATGCATTTGGAGAGCCGAGCACGGGTGCGTGCCGAGCAGAGAGTTCAGAGCCCTTTAAAACTCTGTTCTATTATTAAATTTCTGCTGCTTTCATAATAAACTTCAATTAAATAGTCTCACTGGTTCACTGGAGAAGGTTTCTCTTCGAAATGAACATCTGTCATCGGAGGCATGTATAAACAGCTGTGACTTTCCCTGGCCATATAGGCTGCATTATCCAGACCATCTGGCCATTCTAGCATGGTGATTCTTACTTGGGCTTTTACCCGACACGGTAATTTACTATCTTTAATTTGCTTGGTTTCCTCCGAGAGACCCTTTCCTCTTTTCATACCTCATGGAACCAACGTTGTTTTTGTTTGTTTAGTTTTTGTATTTTTTAAAACAGAAATTGAATCACAATGGTTACAGGAAGTGGACAGGCCTTTCCAAAAGGTCACCGAATGGCCTGACTCCTACATTTTCACCTTTGTCTTTTGCTAACTGAATGCTGGCAAGAGAGGAGTGTAGACATTAAAACGCAGCAATGACGCGTCACCCTCTTTTAATGAGATTGCTTCCCAATGCAGTTTCCGGGGTTTGTTTGTTTGATTTATAAGCTTCCTTAATCTTAGAAACCCTGGCCACTTCTCAAATGATGAAGAAACCAAAGCTTTGTTTTTCCAGGGCTTATCATGCTAACCATGCTTTGCCTGTGAACAGTCACAACAGTATAACCATGAAAAAGGGGTGAGTGTGTTTGTGCCCAAACCTACATTTCCGAGTAGTACATGAACCTAAAAGTGTGCCTTTAGCTAGATACAAACACCTAATCATCTATAATAGTAGCAGATATTTACCCTTGTTATGTTAGTAGTAGGAGTTAGAAAAAATGCCAGATGACTTGGGAGAATAACTGATGATATAGAAAGAACATTTAAGAAAAATTGCTTAAGGCAAAATCTATGTAACTGTCCCTACTACATGTAAAATTATTATAGATAGCATAAAGATTTACACAGCCAACTGTCATCATGTTGCTCTCAGATTATTTTTATAAATTGTCATTATGAAATCATCTATTCAATAAATGCTTCTGGGGCAGAGGTTTGTCCTAAGGAATAGAGGATTGCTAAAGCTTTCGAACCTCCCTGCAATAACTTAGGTGCCAGGAAATTCTAGCATTTTCTGCTAAGTGATATCTGCCATAAGAACTTATATTCAACAATAGCCTCAGACAGTTGCCAACACCAAGCAGAGAGAAGCATCTGCACACTTGTATCTTCTAGAAAAATGAAAATGCTACCTATACAAGCACTTCTACCAAAAAGAAAACCAAACCTAACACTGACTAAGCCAGGCCATCTGCTTCCACTTGTCTAAAAACTTACATGGAGTGTAAAGTAAAGAAACTCAGACAAAATGACAGCCGGGGACTGGGAAACTAGAGCAGAAAACACAGTGTCTTCCACTGTGCTAGCAAAAGAAGATAGTGGAGACACCTAAAGACTAATATAAATTTAAGAGATTCATAATGGAATCCACAGAGCGTTAGCTAAAGTGAAGGTATGGGAGAGAGCGGTTACTGACGCACAGCAGTGAACCAGCCCAAAGGCGTTCCATCCATGCCAGCTCTTTCCAGCTCTGGATTAGTCCCTCTCGCCCTTTGACTTCCTGAAAAGCCAGAGAACTAGTAAGGAAATGACCTGGACACCCCTCATACACTTCTAGGATATTTCCATCTAGGCCCTTAGAGTTCCTCAGCAGCTCTTGTATCTACCAATGGCACTCTTAGTTCCACAGACTTGGAATTAGGTCAGAATTGCAACCCACGAGTTGAAAAGCATACAGGCCTATGACCTGGAGACCTTGTTTGACAGTACATCCTACATTCTCTCTTCCCATTGCCTTTTCTTTCCAAATCTCATGCCTGGGTCCTGCTCTTGCTTGTTTATTTTTTAGTTGTCTGTATATGTGTGTCTGTGTGTAGGTTTGTACATGTGCGCAAGTGCCTGCCAAGGTGAGAGGTCTTGGATCTCCCCTCCTCCAAACTGGAGTTAGGTGGGTGGTTGTAAGCCTCCTGACGTGAGTTTGGGGAGCTGAACTTGCATCCTCTGGAAGAGTAGTAGGTGTACTTAGTAGCTGAATGGTGTCCCCAGTCCCTGGATGCTGTCTTCAGTCCCTGGGTGCTGTCTCCAGTCCCTGGGTGCTATCTCCAGCCCCTGGGTGCTATCTCCAGTCCCTGGGTGCTATCTCCAGCCCCTGGGTGCTGTCTAGTAGCTGAATCCACATATTATTGATAGTGGAATTCCCCTAAGATTTCCAGGTGTACCCCAGAACCTTCTGCTATGGTCTGTTGTTCGTTTCCATGCTGTTTTTACACTATTTCTTCTTGTCCGACGTTCTAGCTTCTCTGCACTTTGTCCCCAAGTAAATCTATTGATTTTCCATGAACTTTTCTGTGGTCTCTAGTTCCTGTGTCTGTCCTTCTCTATTCTGTTGCCCAGAAAGCTGTTTCACAAGCCTCCACTGTCTTCTGCGTGGCGCATGTGGGACTTAATGATAAATATAGTCCACATATACCTAAAGGATGTTCATCTTTAAGATAAAATGGGGAAAGCCCAAACTAAACTGTTTACTCTGGCTGCACTAACCAGCCCTAAGTAAGAAAGGATATTAAAGTTAGCTCTTCATCCCAAAGTCCTAAGTAAGAAAGAACATTAAAGTTAGCTCTACCTTCCAAAGCCCCAAGTAACACAGGACATTAAAGTTAGCTCTCACTTCCAAGGCCCCAGGTGTCCTTTAAAGTCATCTTTCCCTTTTATTTTCATTTCCTAAAAAATGCTTTACAGCTCTTGACAATTTTCTCTTCTAGAAAGTTCTTTCTTAAATGAAACTCTATCTCTTCAGAGTTAGTTCGGTTGGCTTCATCCACTCACAAGTCTTTCAACAATAAAATCTCAACTTCCCTCTTCATGGTAGTATTTCCACTATTTTACGGCTATTACCTTCTCTACTGTTCTGTAAGCTGGAAATTCTCAGTGAGGGAATGTATTTTTAAGGCTTCTTGCTTTCCTTTCTCCCAGGGCCTGTCAGCCATGGTCCTTCCATCACCCAGGCTACCTCCAGAGGCTTCTGCCTGGCTGTCTGGGGTTGCATGCCTTCTCTTAGCCCTGGTCATCTGCTCTTACAGTGCTTCTCACAATCAGTGGTGTACAGACCTTGTATGTCAGTGCCTTGTTCCAGCTTCCAATACTACCATTTATACTTCCAAACAGAAAAACACACACATAGATCCCATGTATCTATAGCCACTCTGAAAGTCTAAAGTGTGTCTTTTCCTCTTCAAAATGAATTAATAGTTCAAGTGGAGTCCAACTGAAACAGGATGGCTGAGTCTGCTTTCTTCAAGATAGACCATCGTACTTCTGAAAATGTCACCTGTCATTTAACCAGCATCTTTTGTTTTTGCCAACTGCTCCCTCCCATCCTTGACTCTCTCACACAGATTCATTTTAAAACGAAAACCAATTTGTCTTCACAGAAAATGCCCAGACCACACCCCCAGCACATACAAAAGAAGGAATATTTCTTTGTCTTAGAACTGATGTCTAGTTATGTTGTTTACCCTGCTTTATCTACCAGACTATCCTTTAATGCCAGCTCAGGGTGCAGAGCTCACACCCATCAGAGCTGTTGTCTCCCTCACTTCTTTTCTCTGCAAATTCAGAGGGTCCCTTCGTCAGCTCCTTCTCTAATGTGCTCACAAAATATACATTTATTCATTTTTCAATGACCATTGAAAATGCCAGCACTTATTCTAGGTGTTGGGAATTTGTTGGTGAGCAAGAGCCTCCATGAAGCTTATATTCCAGAACCATGCTATTCTGATAAGAGAATTAATGCATCATAAAACCCTGAAAGGTTAAACTCATGTATTGTTACCACCGCCTCCACCATTAAAGCGTCACCCCAAAGTTTAGGACTTACTTTTTTTTTTTTTTTTTTTTTTTTTGGGGGGGGGGGGGGGGGGGGGGAGGACAACCTGTGGAAGTTGGCTCTCTCCTCCTGTCATGAAAATTCCAGGAACCAAAGCCAGGTTTTTTTAGGCCTGAAGCAGCACCCTTAGCCTCTGAGCCGTCTGCACCGCCCGTGTTTCCATCCACCTGTTAGCTGTTGCTTGGGCACTGAGCACAGGGTCAGAGCATCTGCTCTAAGAGGAAACATGTTTAAACACCAAGTGAATATGGGGTTACAGGACACAATCTTGTTAACAAAATATTCAAAATTTCATTTTGAGTTATATTTCCAAATATAGCAAAAACCAGGTTGACTCATTTGTTATGGCAACAGAGATCACTTAATATACGGGGTGGGGGGGAGGTTATATCAACAGAAAATAAAACTGCTGAATTAACTAATTGATTCAATTGAGATCAAACGTTTAGTACTTGAAGTTGCTAGGGTAATTTTTTTTTTGCTACATGAGTGATTTAAAAAATAGTAACTAGCACATTAGATTAAGTCATATTTACTCCAGACTCCATTCAGGCCCCAGTAAGCCTCTAGTGAGCTAACATACCTAGGAAAAAATGAATCAGTGAGAGCTAGAAGTTTGAGTGTCTTTCAAAGGAATGGTGCACAATTAAGCAGCATGATCTGAAGTTCAAGTGTTTTCAAAGGAAAGGAGTCACTATGTGAGACAATCTAAATTGTCTATCTAATTCTTTGTATCTATGTCTGTGTCGTGTCTATATCCCAGACGAGCACAGACGAGCATTCACAGCCAGAGATTACACCACTATGGCTTGTAGAAGCAGGAGAGAAAACACTGCTTCTCACACACTGATGAAACTGCTCTGATCTCAGCCACTGCCCCCCCCAACCAAACCCACAGGATGAAACCTTAACCCTGAGCATGATGGCTTTAGAGATGGGGCCCTCTGCCTGGGGTTCCTGACACTATAAGAAGAAACAGGAAGGTGGCATTCATAAGAACATAGCCTGCTGATATCTTGCTCTTGGATATCTATTGCCTAGAGTCATGAGGGAAAATAATTATGTTCTCTAGTTACTCTACACATGGCACTTTGTAATGGCTATTTCATCTAAGACAGTGGAAACTAAATAAAACACCAACATAGTAACACCTCTACTCATAGCACTCTTAGAATTTCTCTTTAAGTGATACAGACTCAGTCTGGCTTTCTGAAGCTGGATTTGGGGAGTGTGGAGTCCTATTTGATTATTAATTTGTATTGTCTCTCATTGGAAGTATAAACTAAAGAAATAACAAGAAGACTTTAAGTGACCATTGATGTAGTCTACAAACTCACCGATGCAAAAGCAATCATGGCAAACATACATTTTCCTTCTTTCCTGCAAGGTGATCACGGAAATTTCAGAATCATGCAAAGACTTGCAGTTACCTCCCCTGAACACACTGTTCTTAGGGAACGTAATTTGAATTGCCACAATACTCCCCTGAGCATCTTAGTTAAACATAATACAAAGTCAAGATATGAGAAATATTGCTCTGTATGTGTGCCAGGGGGTGATTATCAGGGCAACAATTGGCCAAGAACCAAACAAACCATCCTTTGAGTCAGTCTGATGTCCAGATTTCCTGTAAATGTTGCAGAAACATCTACCCAAGTGCACTGGCTATCAACTGCCAAAGCCAGAGTCTGTTTTCCAAAGCTCTACTTGTGTACAATCCATAAACAACTGTCAAAGACATCCTACATCTGGATAACACAGTTGCAAAGTTAATTTTGGGAAGGAAAAAACTACATCCCTGGTTTTAATTTGAATGGAATTTTGATCGGGCAAAGCATCACACTACGGGCATTTCTAATGCTTCTATGGATGTGTGGAACAACACAGGAGCTGCCAAACATAAAAAATGCTGGCAAGCAAAACATGGAGAAGTCTAGGAGAGGCTAACAGCATTGTCTCAGGGGCCATTTAGCTCCATGAACCAGCAAGCAGCTGAGACACTCACAGTGCGAACCCGGGACTCAGGATCTACGGTAGATAAATGTTATTGTGCATGTTTAATACAGAAAATTTATATTGGCTGCTACCAAATGGTTGATGCTGTCTCTCTACAAAATGTTGAGATTTCTCTAGTGCTTCAGTGGATCATGCTGAGCTGTACACTCTTAAAAGGACCAAGAGAGCCAGTAGATGGCACGGGGAATAAAAACTCTTGCCACTCAAGTATGAGGACCAGCGTTCAGACCCCCAGCGCCCACAAACAATCTGGGTAAGCTTGGCAGCATGACTGTAATCGCAGACCTAGGCAAATGCAGGCAAGGGATCCCTGAGTCAGGGTAGCTATTCAAGCAAAAGCAGTGAGCTGTGAGCTTAAATGAGAGCATTGCCTTAATATATAAGGTAGAAAACGATGGAGGAAGACAGTGTCAATCTCTGTCTTCCACACACATGCACAGACAAGTGTGTGCCTACAGACATTTATCCCCATACATGCAAACATATATACATGCACACGTGTGTGAGCACTTGTACATGCTTATTCCCTACACAAGCACACCCATATATCATGAAACACACAAATGCATATGCATAGACATGTGTGTGCACCTGTTCCACTCACCTCTCACACACATACACACACATACACACACATATATACACACACACAAACGCACACACATATATATACAAACACATACACACACAAACACACTCATACACACTCACACACACACATATATATACACACATATATACACACACATACACACACATATATACACACACATACACACACATACACACACATGTATATACACACACATATACACACACTCACACACACACATCTATACACACACACACACACACACACACACACACACACACACACATACACACAGTGGGCCTGGCACGGGCTTTGTAAACCTCAAAGGCCCCTTACAATGACACATGCCCTTCAACAAGGCCATATACTTCCCAATCTTTCTCAAACAGTTCTGCTCTCTGCTGACTAAGCCTCCAAGTCTGTGAACTGCTGGGGGCCGTTCGCTCTCATTCAAACCATCACCTTCCACTCCCTGCCCCACAGATCTGTAGCCATATCATAACGCAAAATGTATTCTGTCCATAGTCTTTCAGTCTCAACACTTTGAAAGTTCAAAGTCTCTTCTGAGACTCGTGACAATCTTTTAACAGTAACATCAGTCAAAAAGCAGGCCACATGCTTCTAACATTCAGAGGCACAGATTATATATTACCATTCCCGTATGGAAGAAAGGGAGACTACTGGGGAAAGGCAAGACTGGAAACCAGCGGGGTGAACTCCAAATTCTGCATCTCTGTGGTTGATGTTAAAGGATTTATTAGATGGCTCTTCCCTTACGGTTTTGCTAACTGCAACACACTTGCCCTTCTCTGAGTTCTTTCCACTTTGCAGCATTTTTTGGTTAGGCATCCCATGACTCTAGCATCTCCAACATCTTGGGGCCTCCAATGCAACTCAGGCTTCTCCATCACAGCTTCACCCCGTGGCCTCTCTGGGCCTCCTTTGCCACATACATGGCTTCAGTGGCTTTCTTTAACTGTGGAGGAAGATTCCACAACTCTTTTCCTGTATCATTCGTGACTTTAAGCCAGACTATGTGACTGAAGCTGCCAAATTCTTCTTCTTGTTAGGGCTGTAATCTGCCACCCCCCCATTTTAATTATATTTGCATAAACTTTCATTTTTGTTTATGCTAAGGAAATAACTCTGGCCTTTTCCTTTAACAGATTACAGTATCAGGCAGGTGGGATCTTACCTTGAGGCTATGACTCCTTTTATTCCATTTAATTTAACATCAGGCTTTCTTTCAATGTTTTATCTCTTTTAGCACAAGCCTTGGCTCCAACATCACCTTTTCTCTTCAAAATGTACATTGTAAATGGAGTTTTTAATTGGTCCAAATAATAAAAACCCAGAGTCAGATACAGAGGAAAATGCTGAGAGATCAGAGAGAAGGAGCAGCAAGCCAAAGCCACCTTCATCTCATTAGCTTCCCAGAGGAAAAAGAGCGCAAGTTCCTGTTTCTGCCCAATTATATCCTCTCTCCATCCAGCCATCTCATTTCCTCTCTCTGCCCAGGCATCTCACTTCCTATCTGTCTGTACAGACCTCCAGATCTCTATAGTTAGCTAGTAGAAAGCTCCACCCTCTAATCTTCAGACAGGCTTTATTTGTACAAGCAAGATATCATCAAAGTACATTTTTCTTTGCCCAGTTTGATCCTTTACAGAAGAGAATAAGAGTGGTTGCTAAGAACCACATGGCACAGTCAATACTGGGTTGTCTTGAAATCTCCTCTGCCAAGGACATTAGTCCTAAACTCACCAATTTAGCTTCAGGCAGACTTTTAGAGCAAGGGCAAAACACAGTCACATTCTTCACCAAAATATTATAAGAATGGCCCTATGTCAGCCAATAGTATTCTTCTCCCACGAAAACTCTAGTACGGATCCCTAACAGTCCATATCACCCTCGGCACTAGTTTTCTATGCACCTACCTGTATGGCCCATTAAGCCCCACCTAAAGTTTTCAACTGCTTTCCTAATCCAAAGTCTATGAACAAGCAGCATGGCCAGGCCTGTCACAGAAATACCTCTCCTGGTACCAAGTGGGCATAGTGTTTGTGGACTGGGAGAACCATTTGAAATATGAGATTGTGGCTCCCATTACAGTGGCCTTGTATATTTAATGTCTGTGTGCTTGCTTGCTTGTTTTTTGACAGAGGGCATTTCTATTTTGTTCCTGGCTTCCTTGAAACACATAATATAGCTCAGTGGCCTCATACCGGTGGTCCGCCTGCCTCAACCTCCCAGCTGCTGGAATTTTAGCTTGTATGTCCATGTACACATGGCCCTAGGCATGAGACAGCAATCATTAACAGGACAGGTGCTGCTTCCTCCATAGTGATTTGCTAGGACTGTTAGTGGCTTGCTTCCTTCTAAACAAGGCCAGCAGTATACCTTTGCATTATATATATGTCTGTCTCTAGTCCTATGGGGATGAGTACCCCCACAGAGGTTTGGGTGGCCTTGACAATTCCACATTCTGCCACAGTGGCTTATGATGTGGATTTTGTTTTGCTAAACAGCATGCACCTGCAGGAAGCAGTGGGATTTTAGATACTTTCTGATATGTAACTTCAGCGTGGCGGCTAAGCTGGGTAAAGTACAATCCATGGTCCTGGAGTTTTGAGAATCTGACCACACTCCCATGGCACTAGCCACTTTTCCTGCTGCTGAAACAACATACCTGACAAAATCACGCTGACTTAGGAAGCATTTACTCTGGACAACAGATTAAGGGTACAATCCATCATGGCCAGGAAGGCATCATAGCAAGAGTGGCTCTAGGTATAGCAGCAGGTGTCACATCATACCCGAAGTCAGGAAGTAGAGAGAGTGGCATGTGATGCTCCAGTGTTTCTCTTCTTTTTATTTTCTTTAGACCCCCAGCCATTGGAATGATGTCATCCACATTCAGGGTGGGAAGTTCCACCTCAGTTAAACTAGTATGGAAACACTCTCACAGACCCATCAGACTTATCTCCTAGAAGATACTAAATCTCCTAGAAAACATTGTCAAGGTGACAAGAATAACCGTTAAAACCACAGAAAGTTAAAACACATGATGCTGAAAGGTTTTGTTCATCCATTTGTTTCTGAGCAGACTTGTTAGTGTCCCGAAGGATGTTCTGAGGGGGTAGCAGAGTTGGAAAGGATTCCTGTTTATTGATGAGGGTTTCCCTCCTGGAGGGAGGGAGAGATGTGAGGCTCAAAGGTAGACAACTCAGGGAGCTCCTAAAAGTTACAAGATTCACAAAGTCCCTCCCCAAGGTTACAGAAGCAGTAAGAACCTTGTCTCAGTTAGGGTTTCGATTGCTCTGAAGAGACACCATGACCACCACAACTCTTCTAAAGGAAAACATTTAATTGGGGTGGCTTACACTTCAGAGGTTCAGTCCTTATCATCACAGCCAGACATGGCAGTGTGAAGCAGCCGCGGTGGTGCTGGAGAGCTAGCTGAGAGTTCTACATCTTGTTCAGGCAGCAGGAAGTGGACTGAGACCCTGAGTTTAGCTTCAGCATGTGTCAGACCTCAAAGCCCAGCCCAGCAGTGACACACTTCCTCCAAAAAGGCCATTCCTATCCCAACAAAGCCACCCCTCCTAATAGTGCCACTCCCTATGAGCTCACGGGGACCATTTTCTTTCACACCACCACAGACATCTAGGAAGAGAGGGATCTCCGACCAGCAGAGGTGTCTGAAAATTGTGCAGAGAGCTCTGGAGATGCAGCTTCTGTGGGCCACCACCCACACTGGAGTGACTCTGTGATGGAGGTGCCTCAGAGTCACCATGCTGTTAGAAGAAACTGTTCACTTGAACATGGCCAAAGCAAACTCTGGTTCACTAAACTAGCCTTGGGCAGAATGGTTTCCTTGGTCTGCTGCCTTTGCTCCCTCTGGGATGCATGGATGGCTGCTAACTTCTCCTCAGGAAAAGGGACAAGGCAGTGCTCTTCAGCACTGTGCACATGACACCTGACTTCCTGGGGGCAGTCGGGCTTTCTCTGCTTGCTATCTCTGATTTCTTTTTACCTTGCACTTTCTTAGCTTGTTCACTCACATTGTCTCTCTCTGTGCATGCATCCTTGTTTCCTGAGGATGCCTAGCCATGCAAAGCCTTCGGAAGCCTGCTCTGTGTGCCGGTAGGACTGGTGAGGAACTGCTAAAAGGAAAACCAGAGAAGCAGAGAAACCACACTGGTGACATCAGGAGAGAGTGGGGTTGGAGAAGCTGTCTGAAATTGACAGAGATTTGAAGAACTCTGTGTCTGGGAAGGATTTGCAGAGCTTTGCTGCATGGCATTGTGTGAAATCCCTGTCATGTCCTTCCTTTCACACAAGGCTGTAGTGAAGACCTGACTGTTTTCAGTTCAGGCTGGCCAGCACTCAGGGCTCCTGGTACTGCAGAAAACAACCAGCTGAGAGTGACTAGCCTTAAAGACACAGATGCCTCTGGTGACAGTAAACATAAACAAATTAAAGATGAATGAAGGGGGCAATCGATAGCTCATTTTCCAGACTCACGTTCAGGCTAAACATAGTTAGCAAAAGAGAATCTGTCTGGAAATCCGGGTGTCTGAGAACACACCAACAATAAAATCGCTGAGGGCCACCAAAATGCTGCAAATGAGTGATTATTTGTGAATGCATTCAATTAAGGAAAAGCTGTAATGCTAGGATAGAGCATAATAGTTCATTTTGAATGTCTATTTAATGTCTAACTTTGAATGATTTTAGATTAAGTTATAATCATGCATTCAAACATGGGATAAATATATACAATCCATTTCCTTTCTCTTCAAGTGGTATTTTAAGAAAACAACAGTGGCGAGAGTCATGCTGTATTTTTAACACTGTCCACGGAGACCAAACTGGGGACTTCCCATGAGGGAGACCCTCCTATGGCAGGCTTTCAGTTCCTGGGAAATTGCATGCTATGGAAGGAGTCTGGGAAAGAACTTGCTATCTATTATTAATTCTCCCCAGGAAACATTTCCCCATAGTTCCTTTAACAAATAACTTATTAATAAAGAGAAAAACAACATCACAAAGGGAATTTTATGCACATTTCCCTGTTCCAAACACACTATACATTTGGCCTAAAGCTGTACTGCCAGGCAATAGAGATAGTAGGAGTTTACAGCAGTGGCCATTCTTCCATAGGCCCTGGGTTCAATTCCCATTACCCACATGAAGGCTCTTAATTGTATCTCCAGTCCTAGGAAATCTGATGTCCTTTTCTGGTCTCTGTGGGCACCAGATATACACATGGAACACAGGCACACATGCAGATGTAACATCTATACACATAAAATGAAATAGAATAAAATAATTTAAAAAGAGTATATTCTTTTTTTAAAAAAAAAAACAACTGTATTTCATCTAAGGTTACTATAGTTACTACCAAAAATGGTTACTTAGAACAAACCCAAGGAAAAACACCATGATGGCTTGTCTTAAATTTAGAGGAGCTTATAATCTATTCTCTAGCCCCAAGCATTCCCCCAAGTTACCAACTGTAGAAAATATCCCCAGGCACAGAGCATTTGAAGCTAGCTACTGCTCCAGTTCCCCAGACTCATTCTTAGTCATTAGACTAAGTCATTCCTGGTACATTGTTGAACTCTAACTCAAATGTAAATAAGAAAACCAGGGTGGGTAGATCTCAGCATGATGAGGCCTTGAAGGCTGCCTGCAAGCCTTTGTAGATCATCTATAGTAAACAGCATAGAAAACTACCAAATGGACCTCCACAGAGAACCTTGAGAAGACCTGAACTAAACCTGTACTGTTGATATGTCATCCTATGTCAAACTGTGACGCTGAAAGGTCCACATTTTAGATAAATTGAAAAAAATATACATGCACAATTAATGCAGCATCAAAAATCTATATTAGCCAACTAGCAGGTAAACAGCAAGCTAAGTGTGAGCTCAGACAATCCTCAAGCTTGATATTTGGTTGAGACATCAGTAAAAGATGGGTGAACTTTATAGACCACTCTCACTTGTGACAAGTACCATCGTAGTGCATTACTTGGAATGGCTAAGAGACTGTTTCCTTATATGTAAGAGGAAATTAATACAACCTGACCCCTTGGACTCTTGGGATGGTTAAATGTCAGCATTTGCACAGCTCCTGGTGGTGCCTAATACATAAACGCCCAATAAGATGCAGAGCTTCCCCATGTACAGGCAGAAACAGGCACATCCCAGGCACTCCTTGGATATCACACATTTATAAAGCTGGCCAAACGAGTGAGCTTGGGAAAGCCAGGAACCTGGTCTGAAAATGCTGTAAAATTAGTTTGAAAAACTTTGGAAAGAATATTAAATTTGGGGAATTCACTCTCTACTACATGAATCTTGGACAATGAGCATCAACATCATAGAAGATAGTTTTAATTTGCATTATAAATTGAACTACTAGAAGAATAACAATTAAAATTTATTTTCTATAGAGTTGTTAACCTATATTAGTACAAGTGGCCAGGTTAGACTCTGCTAGGAACACAGGATTTCAAATTCAAGCTTTCTTTCCCTTAGTAACTTTTCTACTCACCATGGAGACTAACCATTTCACTGTGATGTGTATAATTGGAGCAAACTGTATTTCAATAAGCAAACCTGAATTGTCTTCCACCTTTATTCAGTGGAAATTAAAAATCTCTAGTCTGTCTTGTTTTGGCTCAAGTTTATTCTCAGTCCATTGACCACTTGGGTCCAACTGGGCCTTCATTCTTTCCTGAATCTACTTCTAATTTGCTTGTGAGACACTGCAGTTGGAACTGCCTTGGAGACACATAAATAGCAACTGCATGGGAAACCAGAGGAACAAATACTCCACTTGTCAGTGTGCCAGCATGCTGGTCTCCAGTCCTTCCAGAGAAGAATAACAATTAAGACTCACCAAGGGGTTTCCAGTCTCCATGGAGGGAAACACTTCTCAGCATGGAATGAAGACCTCAACACCTGCGGTCTCAAATATTAATGTATTGATGGTCAGGGTATGCTGGCTTTTCTTCTCACAGGCTGGAAAGGAAGGACCCTGCTGGTGTGAAAGGAGGCTGACAAGAGGGTGACTCTGTCTGGTCTAGAGTCAACTGAACATTGGCCCTCTAGAAGGTGGCAGGAGCCACGGTCACTTGTCACCTCTGATTGTCTCAGCTGCCCTCTTTTTGGTCTGATCCATGTCTGTTCCCACTTTCCACCACGGGTTATGGCTGCCCAGGGATCAGGAGATTACTAAAGAAGACACCTTAGCTTTGAAGGCTGAATGGTAACAGCAACTTGTAACTTAGATTATTCTGTCCCAGGGTGTGATCATAAGCTGGGGAAAGTTGTCATTGCACATCTAGCCATGACAGGAAAAGGACTAGAACCAAGATGAGGCCACACACTATTCTTATAGGAGTAGTTCAAGAGTCAATCTAGGAACCTATTTTCCTTGCAATATCCAGTGTGAGAAATTTCAGCAAAGATTGTCATGAGGACCATTTCTTCAACTAAAGGAAATAATTTAATTTAATGTGCATTGTTCAAATGTTAGCATTTCAGACATAGTATATATGTTCTGATTTAGGAAATGATTAGTTCTTGCCAACTGGAGGGTGTGGATGTCAGTTTATGTAAAGACACGGAACTTTTTCTAGTATGAACCCTATGTCCTCAAATTGTGTTGATGTGTAATTATGATTCAATATCTTAAGAGGCCTCTTCTAGCCCATTAGGGTTCAGAAGTATCTGTCAGTCAAAGAAACTGGTATGACATTAGTTTGCTAAGTTATCATGGGTAAGCCTTATACATGCATAAAATAAAGAGTTTAGATAGATGTCCTGTGGAAGACACAGGTAATTCACATAGATGTTTCATCAATGAACTTTCAATTTCGAATTAGTCCATTCATAATTTGTAGCAGCCCAAGTACCTACCTATTCTGGCCTCCAACATATCAGAATCCAGGAATGGTTTTATCTTTTCCCCACAGCTGCAGCCAAGCTGTATCTGGGTGTGGGGACTGGGATGAGGTCACAGTGAGATGCAGGGACGAGAGACTATTTTGGCATATATGCTTTAGCTACAGCAGTAAACTTCAACATGGTTGACAGTGAAGAGCTAGAACTGGAGGGAGAAGACAAGATGGTCTCAGAGTTCAACACTGAATCTGAAAGCTCTAAGATGAGTTCAATTCTCTGCTCCCCAAGTTGCTTTTAGTCATGGCATTTTCTCACAGTAATAGAAACACTGAGGTAGACTCTTGCTGACATGGGGCAATATTAAAAAATGGTCATGAAATATCAGCAGTGTTGGAGGTAATCCTTGATCCCTGGGACCCACATGGTGTGGTAGAGAAACAACCCTGCAGCTTGTTCTCAGACTTTTACGCTTGTGCAGTGGCACACGTCTGCACACCCACACACAAAATTAATTTAAAAATAAATAAAAGGTAAACATATTCAAAGTGTTAGTAGGTTACTATACATGTTTCTCTTTACACCATAATTTTGGGAAAGTGTATATCCTAATACTTGACTGTTTTTCACATACACTTATCATAGCTATGTATATCATGTGAGGTTCCTAAATGATGGCCATGCAACAATATAATGCCTTGTTAGCAGAACACTACTCTTCTAACAATGATTCTGTAGTCAGCTCATGCACACACACACACACACACACACACACACACAATGATCATTGACATCAGACAGAGTGAATCTGTACTCATTTCTGGTTTTTTTTATATATTTGCAACATTTAAAATCTCAATGTTTTAGAGACAAATCATATTTCATTACATTTTTCTGTTATAATTTGCCAAGAATGCCAATTATTTACAATTGGTGCTAATAAAAATGTAATGGGAATTTAGCTTTGAACCTTGATGGAAATGCAATTAAGTCTGGGTATCTTGATGGACAAAATCAAGGTTGGAATAGAGCCCCAGCAGTGAAGCGCTGGGACCAGAAATGGGCAGTGAGTGTCAGTACACACTGACACTGACTTCAAACACACAGGTTGCCCATGGAGACTCATTTTTGTATCGGGGCAAAGGACTACAAACAAAAGTTAGCATCCCAGTATTGGGACATACAGCAAAATTGCCTTCATTGTCAGCCATCTTGACACTAACGGTGGCAGATGAAGCTACACAGCCACCAGGGATGGCTTGTCACCTGAGAGCAGGGACAGCAGCAGAAAATGGGAGAAGGCACTAATTAGTGTGACCACGCCCACCAAGAAGTTTGTTTATGTGCACTCAGGAACATGTCTGTAGCTGTTTACACTCGCCTGAGTGAAGACCATCTTCCAGAAGGGAGGAAAATCCCAAGAACTTCATGTTCTTGCCAAGCATGTGACTCCACTGGTCCCAGCTATCTAATCATCCGTGGGAAAGTTGGGACACAATTAACACATTTTCTAGGTTCATTGCTATGATGACATACCCCAACAAAAAGGAACTTAGGTGAGAAAAGAACTTATTTGGCTTACTGTGGCCAGTTGCAGCCTATCATTGCAAGGGATGAAAAGGCAGGAACTCGAGGCCTCCAAGAGCAGAGAAAGAACAAATGTATGCCTTACCCCATGTGCTCAGCTCACTCTCTGCTCCTGTGCAGTTGGGGACACGCTGTCCGAGGATGGTGCTGGGACTTTCTATATCAATTAGCATCAGCAAGATCATTCATAAACACTCTCACTCCCAGGCCAACATGATATAATAAGCCAGTGGTTCTCAACCCATGGGTCTTGACCCCCTTTGGAGTCATATATTGGATGTCCTGCATATCAGATATTTACAATTTACAACAGCAGCATAATTAATTACAGTTATGAAGTAGCAATGAAAATCATTTTATGGTTGGGGGGATGTCACCACGATACGGGGAGCTGTATTAAAGGGACACAGTGTCAGATAGGTTGAGAACCACTGGTTTAGGGAGCCCCTCAGTGAGACTCCTCTCCAGTGAGCCTAGGCTGTGGCCAGCTGTCAGTGAGAGCTAAGCATCACACATGCTGAAAACATTTTGTATTTGAAGGTTTTCTTCATCCCTTTTTTAATTACTTAATCCTTGGAGATAGTTGCATAGAGGAGAGGAGGCTATAAACTCTTAGGTAATATTTATGAGTCTTTAGAAAATACAATTTACTTCTGAAGACACTTTTACAAGTCACATCCTTTAGGGAAAAAACATTAACAGTGGCAATAGATATGCAATTACTAGTCTTCTAGGCTGTGTTGTCCTGCACAGCCTTCACTCATTCCTGGGGAGATGTTATTTAGCAACCTCTTCTCATTCCCTTTAATTGACTGGAGGAAGAAGCATGGCTTCTAAGTCAATGTGACTGGACACAGTGCAATCACACAAACTTACTTAGATGATTACATCTAATCTCATTTAAGAGATGTTAGGAATGCATATGTATTTAAAAAGCAACGGAAGATTGCCTGGCTTATTTGGCTCACACTCACCAGCACCCCCAGGCTAATTCAGAAGCTTCCTTATCTCTGAGTCACTTCTGTCATGTTTAGCTTTTTATTTCTTATTTAGTAACCTAGTCTCTGGAGTCCACCCCCGTCTCCAAAAATGAGTAGCAAGTCGATTGGTCTTCATGAAGAAATGCTTCGCAATAGCATAAGCAAAACCCTAGAAGGAATTACAGAGACATCACAAAAATAGATGCAAACAAAGTGAGTGTGATTCTGTAGGGACTATGGTCATCTTGTACAGGCGATCTCTGGGATCCACCCCATGGAAGAAAACCGACTCTGGTTAAGTTTGTTCTCTGACCTCCACACATGTACTGTGGCCATTCTCCCTGGTTCCCTCCCTTCTTCCCTCTCTGTCTCTCTGTCTGTCTGTCTGTCTGTCTGTCTGTCTGTCTGTTTCTCTCAAATGCAATAAAAATTCAAAAGAAAGTGAGGCACCTGTGCCATGTGTTTTCTCTTATATGTAATATTGCTTTAAGGAGGAGATGTCCTTCTGACTTTCATCTCTGCATCACGCTGCAGTGATGACCTCTTGCCTGTGGTACCATGATCCTCTCATTGAAGTCATAATTAATATTTCATGACAACTTGTACATAGAATGAAAATCAAAGAACCACCGCCTCAGGGTGTCTCAAAACTAGCTGCAGTGAAGATTTCAATTTTTATCCCAGTTCTCCCCTCAGGTCGTAACAAAGCATTCTCTTTGACACAAATTCACTTCTAGTTACAGGGGGTCAGGCATGAATCCATTTGGCATTAGGATGAAGGTACAGTCAAGATAAGACTGGGTGAGTCTGGGGTTGTCTAAGAATGAGGGCATAGGTGACCAATAGAACTATGTTTACCAATGGATCACTCATTTTTAGCTGGAGAATCTTCATATACATATCTTTCCTTCCAGGTCATGAGTCTATTAGGCTGTGAGTATAGAGGAGTCAGGCAACTCCTGTTGAAAAACAACAGCTTGATTGATTCTAAAGTTGAGTTGGTTACATGTATGTATGTGTTCCTGCATGTGTTTATGTGGACCTCACAGGTACAACTGCCTTAGGAAGTAAGATCCACCCACAACTGGAGTTACAGGTGGTTGTGAGCTGCCTAACGGGATGCTGAGAATCGAACCCAGATCCTCTGCAAGAGCAATAACTTTGTCACTGAGCCATCTCTTCAGCCCCTCTACCCACTTTTAACGAATGCATTCTCACTTTTAAGTGGCCTATTTAACTATATCTGCTCTGGAGAGATGGAGCTGCTCGCAGTGAAACTGGCAGCGTCCTCCATGAAATCCGGTTACTCACTCGGATTCAGGTTGATTAGATTCATTTCCTGCCATGTCATTCCCCAGACACCAGCAGTGTGCCCAACTAGATGTCTTCTGAGCATACATCTGGCTTTGGTACATCCAAATCTTCAACAAGTAGCATTCTCCAGGGATCCAAGGAATGCTAGACATACATGGATGCAATGCTCAATACCATGCCATTAACCACAGGATGTACTTCACGGGGAGGGGATGTGGGAGTGGCCTGTGCTTATGACTCAGGATATAGGGGAAAAAGGGCCAAGGAAAAAAACGCCCTGATCCTGACCCCAGAACCAGTGCTTGAAACCCCACCAATCCCTGAGATGCCTCAGTACAAAATTCTACCTATCCCCGAGCTTGCTCTAGAATCAGGCTACAAAAGCCCACCAATCCCAAGCCACCCTGGAAAGCTCTGCCTCCCAACCCCACTCCCGCCCCGGAAACCCTCCATAAGCTCTGTGCCCTGTTCAGTTTGCTGCTGCTTCACCCTAGAGGCAGCCACCCACCTGTATTTTTCCTCTCCAATACATTTCGTGAGTGAAGCTTGTTGTGCATTGTGACATGTTTCTCAGGAGCAGAGCCCAGTTGTTAACAACTTTGGCAGAGTAAAGTAGAGCGTAGTAATACTTTCCTGGGGTGATTTGATGTTTTGGGTGCTAAGGAGGTAATTAATAACATTTGTTTGTTCCTTGTATCATGGTAAGGAACTCTTTTTGCCTTCCCCCATTTTGATTGGGGTATTTAAGATCTTGGAGAAAGAAACTTAGGGCTGATCACAGTATTTACTGTGACTCATATCTCTTGTCTCTAGTCTGTTTCTTTCCTCAATCTGCACTCCTCCTTTCAAGCACAAACCAGACAAGTCTGTTGGATCAGACACTGCTGGGGCAGAGTTGTTATACTGTGCAATGGGGAAACCTTTCCTGAAGCAAGGTTGTAAGCTGCTATGCTTACAGTGACTTTGTGCTATTCCTTGGCTCCCAACTGCCAGGGTCCCTTTCCATCTCTGCTGCTACACTTACACTGGGAGCCACTTATACAACACATCCTGAAATTCAGACACAGCTGACTTTATACGTGTTTTAATAATATTGGAAATACAGCTTCCTTGGGAGTATATTTTTCAAGAATGAGATGCCATCCAGCTGGCTGGATGATATGCATTTAATCAATGCATATTGGGTGTGTGGGAGGTAGGCTGTACTCTGCTCAGATTCCCCTCTTATAGACTTCCCAGGGAGCGCTGTGCCCTAATCAGGATATATGAATCTAGGAACCAAAACTGGGAAACATGGCTCCATTTTCTATCATGCCACATGACTCATTTGGAAAGCCTTCTGCACATTGCACACCACAGCTCCCAAAGTAGACGTCACATAGGCTCTTACATGTGTACTGAAAGCATTCCATCAAGCTTTGCTTGGCATTAGGGCACTTTGAACTTTGTAGTTTCAAGTTCCAGCAGGTAAGAACAGGAGACAGCAATATGGCATTGGTAATGTACTCTGGTAAGCAAGAGAACGATAGGATCACTCTTATGTAATGGAGCAGTGAAACACTGTGGAACTCGGGTGACGTCTTGGTATGTCACCTGACACTACCACAAACCTAACCAGGGTTGGCCACAAGCAGCAATCCATATTAGCAGGACTTTGGACCTCCAGGAATAAACGTTAGAACCATTTTTCAAGAAAGGTATGGACCTCCTTGAGGGGAATCTAACATAAATAGTGGATTAAAGAGACAAGAACCACAGGGAGTTACTGTCTGGATGTATGGGAGGTAGACCATGTTCTGCTCAGATCTCCCTCTTACAGACTTCTTAGGGAGCACACTAATTGGCAGGCCCAGCTTCCATTCTGGTCATGCTTCTGCAAGCTAACATTGGATGTAGTGGGACTAGCAGAACTAGGTCATTTCTTCTATGCTTCAACCCCAGTCCATTTATTGGTAAATTCTGGCTTTAGAGTCCTCATCAGCCTGGATGTAACTCTCAGAGCTGTTGCCATCTGCAATTCTTCCTACCTCTTCTTTCATTTTCTCCTTTCTGGGTGTCTAATTTACACCACATCATGGGGGCTCTCTGTGGAGAGGGCTTTCTCTCCTCTTCTCTTGCCCTCTGTGTTATAAGTCTTGTGATTAACTGAATTGTGTCTTGCAGAAATATATGTTGATGTTCTAAACCTGGCTTATCTGCAAATGCAACCTTATTTGGAGATTGGAGACATAATGAAAATTAAGATAGCACCATTAGTTTGGAACCATAATCCAGGATAACTGCTGTCCTCATAGCAGGAGGGAGATTTGGGAACAGAGCTGGAAGATGGCTCTGATCCGAAGAGAGAATCAGATATCAGAGTTCTGATGGGATTCCCAAGGCTTCTGGAGCTGGAAGAGATGAGAAAAGACCTTTCACAGAGGCTGTGCAGGAAGCATGACTGCCCCAGTTCCTTTCTCTCTACTATAGTAAAATGCCCTGGCTAAGGCGAGCTAAAGGAGACAGGACTTATTTGGGCTCACAGTTCATGGTACAGGTCATCATGTCAGGGGAGCCAAGGTGGCAGGGGAGCCAAGGTGGCAGGGGAGCCAAGGTAGCAGGGGCCGAGGTGGCAGGGGCCGAGGTGGCAGGGGCTTGCAGCCACTGTTCACATTGCACCCACACTCAGGCAGCAGAAGTGATGAATACACACTGCTGCTCGGTTCTCTTTGTCTGCATCATCTAAGTGTCCACCCACAGTGGAAGGGTCTTCTCATCTCTGTTAACATAACTAAGGTAATCCCTCAAAGGCATGCCCAGAGGCCCTTCTCCCAGATGATTCTCAATTCTGTCAACCTCACAACGCCGACCACCACTGTGGCCCTGCCACTTTCATTCAGACACAAAGACTCCAGAATATGAGAGAGAACTTGCTTGAAGCCCATCATTTTGTGGTACTTTTGGGGGGGTTGGTCTGTGACATTAATTCAAGTCTCTTACCTACCTAACTCTGTTTTAATCATTGTGTCTTGGTGAACCCAGACAGCGACATGCTATCTAGTTTAGAGACACACTGGGTGACGTGACCCATGAATATGGAGGAAAAGAAGGAAAGAATCAAGAGGATTTGAGCAAGGCTTTCTTTCTCCTGATGTCAAAATTACATGGCCATTACTGATCGTGTCATACCCACCGTCTGCTCCATGCAGTCTTCTGTGAGCGTGAAGGCCAGTGAACCTTTCCTTTGTGACCCCATGGGCTGACACTTATTTATGACAATCTGTGCTCTTGTTGTATGTCTCTGAATGAAATTCTTCTTAAAAACACTAATTGTTATTTCAAAACAGATAGTAGATTCTTTATTATTTTTGATATTATATTTTGATAGATACTTTATTATTTTTGATTATGTATATGTGTGAGGGGGAGTTATGTATGTGTGATTAGAGGTGTCCATGGAGTCTAGAAGAGAGCACTGGACCCCTTGGATGAGGAGTTACAGGTGTTTGTGAGCCCCTAAAGGGGATGCTGAGACTCAGGTCTTCTGCAAGAGCGGCAAACATTATTAACTGCTGGGCCATCTCTCTAGCCGGATATTATATGTTTTAAATACCATTTATGTTTGTACTTAGTGCTCTGTCCCTCCAGTAAAATGACATTTTAATTTTGTTTTTCAAATAAATGGGAATGAGGGGCTGGGGGGGCGTAGTAAGGTACTCATAATTCTTCGATGTGACATGGTATGTTAGATTCATGGAATTATCTGGTGAGAAATTTATAGTCTTTAAAATATTGTATAGTGTCTGGGGAAAAGGCTTAGTAGTAGAATGCTTGCCATGCATTAGCCTCTGAACTTAAACAGTATAAAATATAAAAAAGTAGAGAAAAAGGAATATTAAACAGTCTAAGTGATATATAAGTACATATATACACACATATAAGAGTTGATGCTTCTGTCTTCTATAATGCTATGACATAGTTTTTACTGAGCTATCCACATTTTCCCACACCTCCTTTGTTAATTATTTAGAGCAAACACGTGAAATAAATTTCAAAACTGTCCACCCTGTACCCATGAAGAAGAGGTTGCTCTTTACAAATAGGGGCATTTCTTTTCTGTCACACCCACTGTGCCCTAACCAAGCCAGCAGCCCCATCCAATCAGGGCTCAGCCAGGTGTCCTTATTCTTTCTGAATTACATGCTCACCTAGAAATGGAAGTGTGGTGTCAGCTAGTTGGATTATAAAGCTTTGTTATAATTTAAACTGCATGTGTGATACAGTCTCTCCCAGTTCTCGTAGGACTGAGAATACACTCTTCCTTTTATACTGAAAAATGGGATTATAGACATTAAAATAGTATTCCTCTACAAACATTCTTCCTGGTAACAAAGCAACAGGGTAGTTAATCTAGGCACATTGGAGTATTTATCATGGTGGAACATATTTTATTTATGAGAAACAAATATATCCTATTTGATAGTTTTCTTTCTTTTTTGCAAGATTTGCATTTTTAAGGAACGGAGAAGGGTTAGGAGTTATCTGAGTAGTGATATATCAAAAATAATTTTATTTGTATCAACATCTATAATCAAATGTGATTTTTCCCTAGGTGTTGCCTTATACAGTGCAAGTATTTAATGGTTTGCATATGATGTCAACTTCTCCCCCCTTTGAATACAGCTTGACCTCATGGTTCACTTTTAATAAATACATCTTAAGTGAAACTGGCTATGTGTGATAATAAATACAAACCATAGATAGCTCTGTGGCTCTCTGCTTGCTCTCTTTCTCAGATCATTTGTTGGGATGCTCGTTGCCATGCTATGAGGCTCCTCAGACATGCCAAGAGATAGGTTCACTTAGACCTCCTTTCTACAGACACATGAAACACCATCTTTGGGGCAGAGTCTTGTGCCCAGGCAAGCCTTAAAATGGTGACCAAGAGCCTCACCACAAACCCATCAAGTCTCAGAGTCACACCACAAACCCAGTAAGTCTCAGAGTCACACCACTCAGCCAAGTCTCATGATCCCCAGAAGGTCTGTTTTAAGTTAACTTCGTCTTGGTGGAAATTAACACTCTTCATGCTGTTTCTAATTAGGTTGCTCATTGGCAGGTGCTTTACATGAAAAATGTCCCCATAGTCACATGTATATGAACCCTTGGTTCCTGCACAGTGGTTCTGTTTGTGGAGGTTATGGGACCTTTAGGAGGAGG